ATACAAACATAAACACTTACATACATACATACAAACAAACAAACAAATAAACAAAAATTCATTCAAACTTCTTCTAATGTGATTTATTTGCATTAGTTTAATAGGTCGCCAGTTTTAATTTAGCATCTCATAAATTATTATTTCATCGGAATGATGCTGGGAATGAAGATGAAGATGAGGATGATGGTGATGACACAACGATGATAATGATGATGATGATGATGATATAATAATAATGTCGGTAGGTGAATATTTTCATTCATTTACTGGCCCAATCTATCCATTCATTTAGTTGAATATAATTTTTCCCACTAAACGCTCTACTTGAATATCATTTTCATTTAAAATTATTACATTCATCTATTTTGTTCTTTAATTAATTAATTAATTAATTAATTAAATTTTATTCATTTTATCAATTAAATCATCTATTTTATTCTTTAATTAATTAATTAATTAATTAATTAATTAATTAAATTGTACTTTCAATCATCCAACCTGTAACTACTCTAATCATCGTCGTCTTCATCTCCACCACCGTTCTTTTCATCGTCACATTTCTCGCAACCAACCACTACACACACACACACACACACACACACACACACACACACACACACACACACACACACCGTCCTAACAGAACGCGGACTACACGAGTTTATACAGCAACCACCACAGCCACAACAGCCACACCAGCAACAACAATCTCAACAACAGCAGCAGCAGCAACTTAAACGGCTACAGTCACCACCATCAACAACTACCTCCCTACGCCTCGCCATACAGCTACTACAGCCCCTACATGGTCAGCCATATGGGGACAGCCAGTCCACTAGCGGCCACCCCGCTATCGGCAGCCGCGGCTGCCTCGCTATCGGTCGTCCCCTCGACTCAAACGTATCAACTACTGCCACCTGGCGGTTAGTAATGAATGATGAGTAACGACGACGATGATGTTGCTGATGTTGATGAGGGGATGTTGTCGGTGATGATGATGATGATGTTGATAATGGTGCTTATGTTTTTCTGAGGATGACAAATATGATGATGATGATGATGGTGATGATGATGTTGTTGTTGATGATGATGACGATTAGCAAGATGACGACGACGACGATGATGTTGTTTATGAAAAGAGAGTGAATGATTATATTTATGATCATGATAAAGCTGGTGATGATGATGTTGGTGGTGATGATGATGAAGGCGATATAATATTAATTAATAGTAATTATGTTAATTAAGTGTAAATGAATTATACCATATATGCCTGGCATATATGGCATAATAAAATATAATATAATAAATATCGCATGTCATAAGCGGAATTAATTAATTTACTACACGTAAATAAGCTTCACATCTGTTGAATGTTTGTTTGTTCGTTCGTTCGTTCTTTCATTCGTTCGTTCGTTCGTTCGTTTACATGTATGTTCGTATGCATGTTAGTTTGCGGATTTGTTCATGTATGTCTAGATGTTTGTCACTATTTACTTCTTTCATGTATATACAAACTTGTGTGTGTGTTTAAATGTGTGTTTATATATGTTGAAATTTGTCTAGTTTTGTTTATAAGTGCTTCGTTTGTTTCGATTTATGTACGTTTATTGGCGGTTATAAATTTGATTTATTGATGGCAACGTTTTTATTCCCATGATATTGAAAGTTTCTATACTTTGTTTACATTTTTCGTTGATGTTGTTGATGCAATTGTTTATTAATGTCGTCGTTGCTAGTGTTGTTATTGTTGATGCTACAATTGTAGTTGATGTTATTTAATAGATAGATGTGTCGTTACATTCACTTGCTACTGATGCTGTTAGATGATGCCATGCCATGTTGTTCTTCTTTTTAGCTCCGGCGGCTTTTGTTCATTTCAACTTTTTGCAATTAACTTATTATTCTATATTATCCTCTCGTCTTGTTGCCGTTAAATTTCTTCATATGCTGTTGAAAATAATTTTTTGCTTGTGATATGAAGCATAGGACTGGAGAGAAGATATATTTAATAATGTAAAAATACCATACAAAACATACCTTAGAGCGTAATTACGTACACGTTTCATTTCATTAATACTCACATAAATACGTCTTAATACACATTTAAATCTCGCGTAGATGCCCATAAAATAGGCAGATACAAAAAACATACAGGCATTGGGATTAAGGTTCCTTTATTCATGATAAAGTACTGTTTAATACATCCATGTACATTCATACTTACATACATGCATTCTTCATACATACCTACATATATTTAGGCTATTAAATCGATTCAAGATTGACAATGGGTCTACGTGATTCAGAATTGGTTAAGAATTGCTTTCGCCAACTTTGCCAGATTCGTCTGTGAAGAAAGTTTTTAAAAAGAGACGCTCTTACGTCACTGATGCACGCATTTATCAACACTAGATTGGCGTATTGCAACTGTCTTTTATACGGAATATCGAATTAATGGATTTCGAAGTTGCAGGTAGTAGCTCAGAATCAGGCTACGAAGGTTGGTGGTTTAAGGTTGAACCATTTCTTTTCAATCTTATGAGAGTTGCACTGGCTGTCTATAATGCAAAGAATCCTGTTAAAATTTGGAGTAATGGTGTTTAAATGGTCTGGCTCCTAGGTACTCGTCGAATGAATGGGAACTCCTGGGCAATTGAGATCTTCCAGTTCATATAAATTATGTGTACCGAAAATAAATTTGAAAAATGGTAATAGAGATTTTGCCGTTTTAGGACGGACTTTTTGGAATGGACTGAACTTCGTCAAGATTGATTAACGTTCTTGCAATTTAAATGACGCCTTGAAACATATTTGTTTAATTCATCGTTATGAATTATTTTATTTTATTTCATGAACATGGAGGGCATACAAACATACACACACACACACACACACACACACACACACACACACACACACACACACACACACACACACACACACACACACACATACATACACATTACACACATACATACACAAATTTTTTCATACATTAAATTCTCACACCACACATAGACACACATATAAGTACACATACTTTGAAACACTGACAGAGACACGTTCATTCAAATATGTACACATACCTGCCACATATACATCCAGAGGGTACACACATACATACATACACATACGCGTATATGTACATACATGCATTATACATACCTACATACACACACATACATACATACTTATATACATGAATACTTGTGGTTTTGTATGCAGTCAGTCATTCAATATTGGACTTGTCTTATCGTGTTTCAATACAAATTTTGTATCTGCTGTTCTTGTGGCTGCTGTTGCTATCTTTGGATATGTGCGTGTATGTGTGTGCGTGTGTGTGTACGTACCGTATGTGTGTATATATATGTGTATATGTTTTATATCTGAATACGTTTTGCATGTATGCATGTATTTGTGCGTGTATGCATTATTGTATGCGTTATTTTAAGTGTACATATCCGTGGTAGTACAAAATGTTTGCCCTATTCTTGATTTATTTGTTTTTAATTATGTTTGTGTTTGTGTAGGAGTATGCGAGGTTGTGTCTGATCTGTTGTTCACTTTTTTGGTACTGGTAAATGTGTGAAAGACGCATTTATACCGCGGTTTGCATTTGTATATTTGTTTATGTATGTATGTTAATGTTGGTTCATATGTGTATGTGTGTTCTTGTATGTGTATGTATGTTTGTAAAATGGGATTTACATCTTTATACCTTTGTCTCTCTCTCTCTCTCTCTCTATATATATATATATATATATATATATATATATATACATGTGTGTGTATAGTATAATTTGTCTGTTTGAATGTTGTATGTCTGTGTTTATTTTCCAGTTTGTATATATACCAATCTTTAAAGATGTCTAAATTCAATCATGACTCTCTCTGTTTTCTTTCTCTCTCCATGTGCGCTCTCTCTTTCCACTCTCTTTCTCAGTTTTTCTCTTCCGTATTGAATTACTTTCAGGAAATTTCGCAAAGTATAAATATTGTCAGTGATGATGAGTCTATAATGATGATGACGGTGACGATGACTGAGATGATGAAGATGATGATGAAGATGGTGAGAGTGAGTAAAATGATGAAGATGATAATGAATAATAATAATAATAACTGTAACTATAATAATAATAATAATAACTGTAACTATAATAATAATAATAATAATAACAACAAACAAACAGATACACACTTTGAATCGTCACCATCACCACACAACGTCAAATCGGAGGACTCCCAGAAGACCTGGTCACCCAACAGCAATGAAGATAAAAGTATCATTTTCATTACTATTAACTACACACACACACACACACACACACACACACATACACACACACACTTATACCCACACATGCGTAATACATACGCAGTAGTAGATTTCGGGGGTTTTTTTTGAGGGGACGGATTCGGAGTTGGATATTTTCCATCCGACTCTGACACTGGATGAATTGTATGTGTGAATCTGAATATAGTCACCATTGTAATAACAACAAAAATGTTACATTTACCTTACCGTCATTTTTATCGTAGCAATTATTTTTGCGTATCCGTATCGATATTTATATACGTGTGGGTTTTCTTGTGTGTTTTTATATGCGTGTGTATAATGTCGGCGTGTTTGTATGTGTGTATGTGTGTACACGTCTGTACGTGTGAACCAGATTTAGTAGTGAACCAGACAAGAAAAATAAACATTTCTTCAATTCGCCACCAAGCTGTCTACTCTGTCAATAAACACACGGCCACTTGGATAAACATACGTACACATACATACATACGTACGTGTTTGTATGTTCACGTATACACATACACGCATACTCAAACGCATGCACTAATATATGTGCGTACAAACGTGCTCATATACAAATACACATGTGTTGACTGATGTATTGACTGATGTTTGTGTATGCAGTAAATAAAAAAATCTCTCACTAACGCAGTCAGATCTGTTTGTAAAATTGTTTTGTGTGAAGCATCAAATATTATTCATGCATATTTATTTGTTCGCTCGTATATTTAATAGCATCTGCTTCTGCATATACATATATACAACACACTGTATACATTTGGAACACTATATTCATACATACAAACACACGTGCAATCGTTATCATCTTAATCGTCAATCACCTTCGTCGCCAGACTCGAAATCGCGTAGCCGAGGTCGCCGCCACAACAACAGCAGCAGCACCAACAACAACAATCCATCTCCGGGACCCGATTCCGAACTGGAGAGGATTTTTATATGGGACCTGGACGAAACCATCATCATCTTTCATTCTCTACTCACTGGAACCTACGCTCAGAAATATGGAAAGGTTCGTGATGATGATGGTGATGATGAGGGGGATGATGATTTTAAGGATGATGATGATGATTGCTCACTTGGTACTTCATTCTTTTATTTCTTTCATTCTCTTTTGTACCCCTTCCATTCCTCCTACTATCTCCTAATATACAATTATGTGTTTATCTTGTACACATAACACACACATACACACACACACATACACACACATATATATATATATATATAAGTGTCAACATTGCGTAATAATGAGTGTCAGGATGTGTTGAACACCCTTCCCAGGTAAAATGGAACGACCCACAACCGTGTATGACTGTGCTAATTGCTGATGTTGGTTTATGTGTGCTTAAGTTTTGGTTGGTATGTTTAAGTTTTTGTATGTTTATTGGTATGCTGGTGTTGTACATTATTTTTATAAATAGTCTGGAAAGTTTAATAGCTTTTTAAACGTTTGTTATATGTGGAGTTATATATTTAATTTAAGATTTAGGTATAGATAGATACATTTGTCTAACTTGCAGCATTGTACATTCAATAGAATATAAATTTTTACTGGCTCATTTCGCTTCTAGTTATTATTCCCTTCCGTCAAAGCATCTAACCTTCCAGCTCAACAATCACCTTCTTCTTCTTGCTTATTTACATATGTGTAGATGTGTGTGATGTGTGTGTGTGTGTGTGTACGTGCGTGTGTGTTGGACCATCGAAACAATACAATACAAGTGCGAGCCTATATGCTTGCGCTCAAGCATACAGAACTGTAGTTGTTAGGGCGCAAGTACGAGAAATAAAAGGTAGAATGAAGTATGAGTATGAGTATGACTATACTCTTTTAATTTTTCTTTATTAAATTCGTCTTTTAAAGTTAACCACACTCAAAAACACAGGTACATAGAATTATAAAAATAAATATAAACAAAAACATACAGATACAAATACATCCAGTCAAACACATCCATAGAAATACATACATACAAACACATCCATACAGACAAACACGTCCATACAGATATATACACACAAACACATACATACAAACACGTAGAAAAATACAAAGACGAACGAACATGATTATATGTTAGTTTATTCAGTTCATCCTGTTACGTTAGCAGTCAAGTCAAGACATCTAATGGTATAAACAGATGGTTGCTGCAAACGCTATTCATCCAAACACACTCGCACGTACATTAACACGCACGCATACACGCACACATGCACGTACCTATGCGTATATAAACATCACAAGCATACTTGTGTATATATACAATCATGTCCATGAATATACATACAATCACACACAGTTTATTATTATGAATTTAATTCTTATTTTGCATGTGTTCGTTTGTTTCTAAAAATGTTTTAGATGAATTATTATTTTTTATACTTGTGTGACTGCATGCATGCATGTATCTGTGTATATATGTATGTATGGATAGATGGATGTATGTATGTATGTGTGTATGGGTGGTGTTTGTGTGTTTGTGAAGGTTTTTATGTCTGATTTGAAGTGAAGTTAGTGCATACATACGTTACCCTGTGTTGAATTCAATTAGTATTTGTTGTGTATGCACGTGCGGATGTGTGCGCGAATGTTTGGGTGTGTTTGTGTGAGTGTGTGCAGGCATTTATTTTTTGGTTTGTGTATATACCATAAACACACAACACAAACAAACACACACACATATATATACTTACACATATATATGTTGGGTGTTATGCATAACGTTGAGTTTTTGTTCAGTAAGTAATTGAAATGAATGTATGAATGGATGAAATGAATGAACGAAAAAATTAGTAAACAAAGAAAGAATAAATGAACGAGCAAAATGAATGAATGAACAATGGAACGAACGAAAGATTGAGTGAATGACGAACGAACTGAATATAAAGAGTTAGTATCTAAATTAGTGAATACATGTTTAAAATCAATCAACGATTCCTTTCCTTGCCTTCTTTCACTCTCCTCTCTCTTCTTGCTGCGTTATTTGTCTTCTCCGTTCTATTGTTCTTTTAAATGTTTCATTGAGTGTGTGTGTGTTTATGTATGTGTGTGTGTGTATTTGCTTGTACATGCGCGCGTGTGTGTATGTGCTTGTATGTTTGCGTTTTTTACAATCATTAGTTCGTTTCTTTGTATGTTTAAATGTACTTTCTGTAAATTTTTTTCAAAACTTTGAAATTTTAAATTTAAAACGAAGGTTGAGAAAAAACTTCCACCAAGGATCCCGAATGTTTCAGCATTAAGAATAAACTTAATCGACTAAACCACGCCAGTCTAGCTTCTCTTTGCACGTAGTATATATGCACGTACGTATACAAATGTGTGCATGTACGTGTGAAAATTTAGGCATTTACACATACACTTGCAATGTGTACTGTATAAGGCATTTCTTCAATAAAATTTTAATCTTAAAGCGATAAATACACACTCACGAACTTACACGCGCATAAACACGCAACAAAGCTTGAGCATACGCAAACAAACTTTTAAATACTTTCGTTTGCAGCTGTACGTACGAACACGAATATGTATGCGTATTTTTATGCGTACTACTCCAGAAATGATTAAGTATGTTCATCACGTACACAAGAGTACCTGCATACACAAAAAATGCCCACACGCATACATTACATGCACTGACGTATGCCCATTCAATCACGCACGAACGTGTACAGTTTCGTTCGTGTTTGTTCGTATTTAAAGAGAACTTTGTGTGTGAACTTTCTTCCCCTATCTTGAAAACTATTTTCCAATATATGCATCATGCGTCAGAATTTAATTTCGAATGATGGCAATTTGAAAATTTCACCGTAACTTTTTGGAAATTTAAATTAAAAATATGCAAATTAAATGGATTAAAATTATAAAATTGAAAGATATTTATTTCCATGTTATCGACTTGTTTGCCACACGGTTCTTTCTATGTATATTCTTAGCAGTAAATAGCTGAAGCTCTATCATGCGATTTTAAATCCACTCTACATGTATTTAATTAATTCTTATTATTTAGCTCATATAAAGTTATTTTGTTTAATTAATTAACTAATTGTTTTTGCATTATTTGATTGAGTTACATTATAGATATACCCATCTTTCTCTAATTAAAATTATAAAATAAAATGATGAAATAAAAAAATATGTTTTTACGTTTTTCACTATTTTATTTCTTCAATCTCCTCTTTCCATCAGTTTCCGATTTCAATTAAAATCTTTTGATGATGAGTTTGTAGAAGTTGTAATTGCTACTACTACTACTACTACGATTACTACTACTACTACTACGACGACGACTACTACTACGACTACTACTACTACTACTACTACTACTACTACTACTACTACTACTACTGCTACTACTACTTCTGCTGCTGATACTGTTGCTACTACTACTACTATTACTACTGCTACTGCTGCTACTACTACTACTGCTGCTACTGTTGCTACTTCTACTACTGATGCTACTACTACTACTACCATTACTATTACTAATGTTACTCATTGTTGTTACTCTTACTATTGTTGTTAAATAAAATACTGCAATGCATGCTAGTAGCTGTAAAGTACTGTTTCCGTTCTGTTCAGTGTGTCTATGTTGATGTCTATGTTGATGTCTATTGTTTCTGATTGGTCATTATTAGTCAGTTAGTCATCATGCAGACGTGCATTTCGTTTACCTTTGTATGTATGCTTATATCTGTGTTTGTTTATGTTTGTGTGTATTCGTACGTGTGCTTGTGTCTGTATGTCTGTGTTTGTCTATGCAAGCTTGTATGTATGGGTTTTTTTTATGTATGTACGTGTGTGTGTATTTGCGTGTATGCGTGTGTATAAATGAATGAATGTGTTGTCATGTGTGTGTTTGTCTTAATCAGTCAAAACCATCATCATCATAAACATCCTCATCATCTTCATCACCATCATCATCACCACTAACAGCTCCATCAACAACGTCATCATCATCATAATCATTGCATCATCATCATTATCACATCGTCATTATTATCATCATCAACATCTTTTTCTTCATCATCACTCCAAATTAAAATCAGTCTTACTCTTTCTTAGAGGTAAACAAGTGCATGCGTGTATGTATGTGTGTACGTGTGTGCATGCGTGTGTGTGTGCATGTGTGCGCGTGTGTGTAATACTTATATTCTTTCTACTAAATATACAAGTGTGTTATACCTTTGTTTATTTCATTTGTTTAGAATCATCACACAAGTTTAATCATGTGTTTGCGTGTGTGTGCGCGTGTGTGTGCGCGCGTGTGAGTGCTAGTTTATTTGCCTGGGTATCTGGAGGAACTTCTTAATAACTGTTCAGTATTTGAATCGCTACAATAACGACCAATGGTCATTTACTTCAAATTTCCTTGCTCCTTCTAAGACTTTCACTTCTACAATACTTCTACAACGGTTACTGCTAGCAATACAACTATTACTACTACTTTCTACTGCTGCTACTACTATTAACTACTACTACTACTACTACTACTACTACTACTACTACTACTACTACTACTACTACTACTACTTTTGTCGCTTAGTTATAATTATATTGTCAATTTATTATTACTCGTTTATTAATTTAAAAATTTCAATTGTGGTTCTATAGTTACTTCTTGTGGTACTACCGATATTTATTGTGGTACTACCGATATTTATTGTGGTACCACTGTTTTTTCTTGTGGTACCACCGTTATTTCTTGTGGTACCACTGTTATTTCTTGTGGTACCACCGATATTTCTTCTGGTATCAGCGTTACTTCTTGTAGATGGAAGTGGTAATTAGTAATGATCACAGTTATAACTGATAAGTAACGATTAAGAATACTAGCTAGTAGTATAAGTACTGATTATTCGCCAACGACGCTGCTGATGTACATTGCAATAGTATTGTATTGTTGACCTGTGTAGAGAATTATCAATGAATAAAGTCGACTCCTGATAAATAAATTATGTATGAAGTTGATGTGGCTAGAGTAGTAGTAGTAGTAGTAGTAGTAGTAGTAGTAGTAGTAGTAGTAGTAGTAGTCGTTGTATTTGTAGTAGTAGTCGTTGTAGTTGTAGTAGTAGTCGTTGTAGTAGTAGTCGTTTTAGTAGTAGGAGTAGTCGTTGTTGTTGAAGTATAAATAGTTGTTGTAATAGAGGTTGTCATTTAAAATTTGAAAAATAACATTATAACAAAACAACCATAACCACACACACACACACACACACACATGCATAAACACACACATACACACGCACATACGTACGTAAGCTTGCGCGCTCACAGCAGGCCTTATTTATTTATATATTTTATTTAAATTTCGTAGATCAAAGAATGCTCTCCCTTTTTTGTTTGGATAATAACCATCATCATCATCATCGTCGTCGTCGTCTTCGTCGTCATTTACTACGATTACATCATTGCATTTGATTGCTATCATTCCGTCATCATCGTCATCATCATCATTGTTGTCATCATCATCATTTTTTAGATAAATTTGACGTACCTATACATTATCCTATCACAATATATATATATATATATATATATATATATATCATCATTAGCGTTGACATCGTCATCACGTTATTATCATTGTCGTCATCATTATCGTGCCATCATCATCATTATCATCATCATCATCGTAATCATCATCATCTTGGTTGAGGATTGCCAGCAAACAGGTACTTGGAAACGCCTTGGGTATGTTGTTATGACAACTGCCTATCACCATGAACGTCATCGTCATCATCATCGTCGTCATCATCATCGTTGTCATCATCTTTGTCATCATCATCTTCATCATCATCATCTTCATCATCATCCTCCTCTTCATCTTCTTCATCATCGTCTTAATCACTGTCGTAAGTTTTACTATTTGCGTACAGTCTATAATAATCATTCATTGATAAACCATTTCTCCATCATAGCCATCATCATCGTCGTCATCGTCACCATTACCGTCATCATCCTTCCCATCATCATCCTCCCCATCATCTCATCATCATCCTTTTCTTCCTCTTCGTTTTTTTTATCATCGTCGTCTGTTAACGATGACGATTGCTTGCATCGGCATTATTCATCATCGCTATAATATTTTTATTATACTATTAATATTATGACGTTATATTTCAGCTATATGATAATTATGACTGGGAGGCTGTAATAGTGGTGGCGAAATTAGTGAATTCTAATGATGACCTATGATAATGTATATGATGATGGAGATGAGGACGACGACGATGATACTACAAAATTATACCTCCATGCAACTTCTCCCTAATAAACATAATCCATCTTCCATCATTTGTTTTAAAGTTATTACTGTTAATAATAGTACTACTACTCTTAATAATGATGCTGCTAGAGCGGCGACTGTTGTTGCTGCAGCAGCTGCTGCTGCTATTGCTGCTGCTGCTGATGATAATGATAATAATGACGATGATGATGATGATAAAGTCATAGAATATTAATTTGTTAATATAAAACTTCAATCTGTGAAAGCAACCAACTGCTCACTCATTGGGTATATCACTATTAGCTCTGGCAATGGTTACGTATTAATGATAATAAAAACATCATTATTATAATTATTATTATTTGTTATTATTATTATTGTTATTATTATTGTTATTATTGTTGTTGTTGTTGTTGTTATTATTATTCTCGGAATGGAAGAACGGGGCCTGGCTTGCAGAATCTAATCAGCACATGAAATTGTACACCGGCACTGCGAAATTTCATTGCTCCAGAAATAATAATAATAATAATATATAAATAATAATAATAATATTATTATTATTATTATTAGTAGTAGTAGTAATAATTATAAATTTAATGGTTTGAGTGTAGTTTACCGTAAACTGTAAATGAATGAATTAGAATTAGCCGTTAATGATGATAAACATAAAATATCCGGTAATACAACGGATAATATACAAAAATAAACAAACTTTGTTGTGTATTTTTTGCATATATTTTCTTATATTTCATTCGCTTGTTTGTTTGTTTGTTCGTTCGTTTGTTCACATGTTTGTTTACATGTTTGTTCACATGTTTGTTCACTTGTTCGTTCGTTTATGAAGACAATTATGGACATGGAGTAACGTGAAACTTCTAAGAAAGAGTAAAAATATGCTTGCTTCTTTGTTTGCGTTTTTTCATGCTTGTTGTATGTTTTTGTTGCTATGTCAGTATATGTTTGTATGTGCACGTTTTTGTATGTTTGCTCGATTTTATGTATATTTTCATGTCTGTATGCATGTATGTAAATGATTGTTTGTAATGTTTTTTTGTGTGTTATCATTATGTCTTTTCTGGCTGGCTCACTCGCATTTCTTTCAAATAACATTAAAATAACAATAAATAATAATAATAATAATAATAATAATAATAATAATAATGATGATGATGATGATGATGATGTTGATGATAAAATTGTTATTAGTTTTATTATTATTATTCCTCTTATTATTAATATTTACATCTACCGGACATCTATCTCTTCAGTTCGGTTGGCCACTCGATATTTAATTGAGGGCGGTTAATTTGCCGTTTCAACGTCTCGTCACACACCACCACAACTACAATAATAATACAATAACAATAATAATAATAATTATTATTATTATTGTTATTGTTATTCTGTGCGCGTCTGTATGTTGTGCAATAATTCCACGTTCCGATGAAGCTAGTTAGTTGGCTGGCTGGCCGCATGATGAAGCTAATGATGTGTACTATGAAATGTTTATTGTTGTTGTGGTTGTAGTTGGTAGTAGTAGTAGCAGCAGTAGTAGTAGTAGTGGTAGCAATAGTAGCAGTAGTAGTGGTAGCAGTGGTAGTGGTAGTTAGTTGCGCACACGCAAACAAACACACGCGCATACACAAATACATATACGCACATACACGCACATACATAATAACATTCGTGTATGTTGTATTTAAACGTAATGCACAACTTGTTGATTTCGTCAGAGGAAATATGCAACTGTCGTTTTTTGACGGGTTTGTGTGTTTTGTTATTACATCGATCAATCAATCAGTCAATCATCCTGTCATTCTTTCATTCAGTCAGTCGTTCATTCACTCCATCTTTCAGTTTGTCTCATTCTGTCCATCGTTCAACCAGCTAGCCAATCCACACGTTTTTTTTATTGTTAATTCGTTTTTTTTTTCAATTCGTTTGATCAAAGTATATTTATTGTTCTTTTTCATTCATTCATTAATAGTTAATTAATTTTTATTTGTCTATTCAGTTAATAATTCGTTCATTTACTCGTTCGTTCGTTCTTTCGCTCGCTCGTTCACTCGTTCGTTCGTTCACTCTTTCATTAATTCGTGGTATGTTCGATGCTAATTAAGTAAAACAAGCCGCCTCAAATTATTCATTTATTTCATTTATTCAATTAAACAATCAAGAAACCAAATTCAATAACCTTACGAAATCGATTCATCAGGCGTAATTTACTGCTTTCTTAATTAATTGCCTGGCTCATTAGCATATTTTCTTTGCATATTTCATGTTAATTAGTTAATCAATATTTATTGATAATTCAGGACCCGCCTACGTCTGTATCTTTGGGTCTACGCATGGAGGAGATTATATTTAGTCTGGCCGACAACAATCTCTTCTTCACCGATCTTGAGGTTCGTTTTTGTGTGTGTTGTTTGTTTGTTTGTGTTTGTATGTTTTTGTTGGTATGTGTGTTTGTGTGTTTTTATGTTTTTGTTGATGGATGTGTTTGTGTGCGATTGTTTATGTTTGTGTGATTGCTGTTTGCACTTGTTCATATGTAGGTGTTGTTTGAATTGGAGTGTTGAAATTGGAACCTAAATGATTTTATAGCACACAATTCACATTTTATTTTACTAACTGTTTATCTCTTCTGGCCATCTCTTCCTTATACTATCATTTTTTGTGTTATCTACATTGTTCATCTTTATAAACGTTATCATCATTTGTATTGTTTGCTCGTTTTCGCACTATTTTTCTCTGTCTGACCAATGTTGTATGTGCATTTGTGTGCTCCTATGTATGTATGTATTTATGTACATTTGTTGTACGTTTGTATGTGTGTATGTACATTTGTTGTACGTTTGTATGTGTGTATGTACATTTGTTGTACGTTTGTCTCCGAGTGTGTTTGTTTGGATGTTTGCGTATTTAAGATTATCAAGTTGACATTTGGAATTAGCGCGTACCAAAGTTGTGCAATCTTAATGTTTAACAACTGTCGCCTCCATACACTGACTGACTGACTGATAGCATAGCATTTTTACTTTACTTACTAGTATTTCCTTTATTACTCTTTTACTGTCGTTGTTTTCTTTTCTTCTTCTTCTTCATCTTCTTCTTCTTCTTCTTCTTTTTCTTCTTATTATTATTACCATTATTACTGCTACTACAAATACTACTAATGCTGCTATTACCACTACTACTGCTACTACTACTACTACTACTATTACTACTACTACTAATGCTGCTAATATTTTATTAATCATCATCACAGTCGCCAAAGAATAATTTCTTCATCATCCTCACCTTCAATCTATCATAAGTCATCATCAGTCACCACTATTGAATTGACATCATTATCATTACCATCACTATCATCGCTATCACCATCATCATCATCACTACCAACATAAGCATCATCATCGTCATTATTATCATTATCATCACCCAGGAATGTGACCAGGTTCATATAGATGACGTTTCGTCTGACGATAATGGACAGGATTTGAGGTGATTTGATTAAATAATTAGTCGATTTCTTAATTAATTAATTAATTAAGAAATTAATTAATTAATTAATTAACTCATTATACTTATTTTACTTCAATAATCTAATTTTATTTTCCAGTTATTTGTTTTGTTAAACTTTAATTAATTGTTTAGATTATTCTAATTAACCGTATTTAATCGTCTCGTTCCTATCTATCATACTGGTCTTATTTTCCATTTTCATTATTCCATAAAATTTAAATAAATTATTGTTAATAATAATAATAATAAAATAATAATAATAATAAAATAAATAATAATAACAACAACACAGCATTCCACCTGTTTTTGTTTGCCTTTTTTTGGCATGTTTTGACGTGGTTTTTAATTGATGGTCTATAAATTTCATCCACGTCCTCATCATCATCTTCTCCACCCTCATCATCGTCTTCTTCATCATCGTCATCACCATCGTCTTCTCTATCGAATGAATGGATGGACGGATGGATGGATAGATGGATGAATGAATGAGTGAATGAATGAATGAATGAATGAATGAATGAATGAATGAATGAATGAATGAATGAATGAATGAATGAATGAATGAATGAATGAATGAATGAATGAATGAATGAATGAATGGAGGAAGGTAGGAAAGGAAAAATGTCAAACTAATGTGAACTGACGAATGGATGAGTGGGTAGAAAGTTGATTGAAAAGACGATTTTATTAAATGAAGAAACGAATGAGTGATTGAGCGAGCGAGCGACCAAATGAATGACAGAATTTAATTAATCAAATATTAAACGAATGAGTGAATGAATGAATGAGTGAGTGAGTGAGTGAGTGAGTGAGTGAGTGAGTGAGTGAGGGAGTGAGTGAGTGTGTGAATGACTGAATAACTGAATGAATTAATGTATCAAAGATGATGATTATGATTATGATGAATTTCTTGTCTTTCATCCAATGGTTTATTTTTCAATGGGCCGTCAAGTGTTTTCGATTGGAAACATTTTGTGTGATGACGACGACGTTGATAATTTGTTTGGTGATAGTAATGATTATGAATAACGATGGCGTGGTTTTGATAATGATCGTCGTTCTTCTGAAATTAACATTGATGATATATTGCGATTGCTGAAACCTGATGTATGGATGATGATGCATTTGGAAATTCCCATAAATCTCTGCCACCCGTTCTCATCATCATCTTCATCATAGTTTCATCTTCTTCATAGTTTCATCATCTTCTTCACATCGTATTATCGTTAAAAATTCTGCACTAATAACGTTATCACTTCATCTCCCTTGCGACAACATTATCATCCAAGCATCATATCAATACGATCGCACACACACGTACACACAGAGTCACGTAAACACATAACATTTGTACACTTGCACACACAACTTCTACACGTACGTACATGCACACATACTAATAAATTGAATAATAAATGCCACATGCATCTGACGCGCGCACACAAGCGCACAGGCGCACATACACTCGTTACTTTCTCTCTCACTCACAAACACAGTTTGCATCATTCACTTTGCATACGTTCGTTCGTTTGTGTTTTATTCATTCATTCATTCATTCATTCATTCATTCTTCTCTTCGTTTGTTCTTTCCTTCATTTACATATCGGTTTGAAGATATGCTAAAAAATAAGTTATAACCGTAATAACTGTATGGTATGTATATTTGGCATAAAAATAGCAACATCATTGTAAAACAACCATCCAACCAACCATTCAACCAACCAACCATCCAACCATTCATCCAACCAACCATTCAACCAACCATCCAACCAGCATCAGCTAGGGAAGATTTGAAAACTTTAATACTATTGATCTGTTGATATATGCCTCCTTACCTTTTGGTGATCGCGAGATGGATTGAGAAAAAATAAGAAAGAGAGCGAGAGAGAGAGAGGAATAAAAAGAGAAATATAGTAGTAAAGATAAAAAGAGTGAACAAAAGAGAGAGTAAAATTAAGAGAGAAGGGAGAGAGAGAGAAGGTCATATGAGGAAAGGTCACGTGTTGAGGAGATTGAGTAGTGGAAAGAGGTCAGCTTTCAAGAGGAATTATAATAAACTGTATTATATATATATATATTTATATGTATGTGTGTTTATGTGTGCGTGTGTGTGTTCATTTGAGTGTGTATGTGTGTGTGTGTGTGGGACCGTATAAGTATGTGTGCACATTTGTGTGTATGTGTAAATATTTACGTAGGAATGTGTTTGCTCGCTTGCACGTTAGTAGTGTATGAATGGCAGTTAGACAGGTACCATTGAGTGCATACTGGGTATCGTATGTCATACTGTTTTTACTTTGGCGTGTATATGTGTGTTTGTCTATGTATGTGTGTGTGTGTGTTTGTTTGTGGTATCTGTGGTTGGTCAAATGTGTGCGCGCGTCTTTGTGTATGTGCACTCACTTGTATACCCGTGTAAATTCGTGTCGGATTGATATGTAGATAGGTGCTTGGGTAGATCACATATGTTTGTTTGTGTGCGTGTTTAACTTTGTAATTTTGAGTACGTGAAAATTCCGCCAACACTGATAATACTACTAATACTAAAAATACTAACTATATCGTGGTATTTTTTCTCAGTAACTACAACTTCATGACTGATGGTTTTCACGCGGCGGCTACAAACGCCAACCTGTGTCTCGCCACTGGCGTCAGAGGTGGAGTCGACTGGATGAGGAAGCTCGCTTTTAGGTCGGTATGGTGATGGTGCTGGTGATGATAACGGTGGTGATGATAATTATGATGACGATTAAAGCAGCTTTATGACCTAATATTAAAGACGACAATCGTGTTCACATTTAGTCATTATCTTATAATGATTATTATCATTTGTATCTATCATCATCACCATCATCATCGTCGCCGTCCGTGTCATCATACTGTGTCATCGTCATCTATATTGTAGTCATTATCGTCTATTCATCATCTTCATAATGATAGGTATCGCCGGATAAAAGAACTCTACTCAGCTTACAGAAATAACGTTGGAGGTAGGTTGGATGATGACGACAATGACTATGATTGATGATAATAATCAAGTTAGACTATTTTATGCACCAAATTTCAGGACTTCTGGGAGCTCAAAAGCGGGAATTGTGGTTGCAGTTGAGGAGTGAGATTGAAGTGTTGACTGATAACTGGCTGACCTTGGCCCTAAAATCTTTATCCGTTATCAATTCTAGGTTGGTTTGGTTGACTTGCGTTCTTTGTTGTTTGTATTCTTTGTGTGTGTGTGTGTGTGTGTGTGTGTGTGTGTGTGTGTGTATGTATGTATGTATGTGTATGTATGTGTGTGTGTGTGTGTGTGTGTGTGTGTGTGTGTACGTGTGTGTATAGTTTGCAGTGAACATACACACAGATCGACTTGCGTGAATGTGCTCGTGACGACGACGCAACTCGTTCCAGCGCTGGCAAAAGTTCTTCTCTACGGCCTCAGTCCAGTCTTCAACATCGAGAATATATACAGTGCTACAAAAATAGGTTAGCAGTTGCTTGGCTGGCCGGCTGGTTGGATGGTTGGATGGTTGATGGTTGATTAGTTATCTGAGTGGTTATTGGTTGGGGTTACTTTTACTCTTGGCTCATTAACTTTTCTTATAGAATCAATACCGTGATCGTTATTGCTTTTTCGGGTCGTCATTAAAATTTTTTCATGGAAATCGTCCTTACCATCATTAACATCACATCACATCACGTCATCATCATTAACATCATCATCATCACCACCATCATCATCATCAGGAAAAGAAAGTTGTTTCGAGCGCATCGCATCTCGCTTCGGTCGCAAGTGTACGTACGTTGTCGTCGGCGATGGTCGCGATGAAGAAGCTGCTGCCAAACAGGTGACGACGATGACGATGATAGCGATGACACTATGATAGTGATGATGATGATATTGATCTTAATTATATATATATATATATATATATATATATATATATATATAATAGGGAAGGTAAGTAAGAGGAATGTTTGATATTGAGTTATATTTATTAAAATAATTGATGGTAATATAAATTGTGAATTCGTACAATAGCAAAGATAACGATGATGTCTAGCATTGACCTCCTTCGAATTAACATTTCTAGATGACCTGGCCATTCTGGCGTACGACCAATCATTCAGACCTAGCGGCCCTTCATCATGCCCTCGATCTTGGATACCTATGAAGATGACGTCTGTCTGTCTCTGTTTGTCCGTCTGTCTGTCTGTCTTTGTTTGTCTGTCTGTCTGTTTGTCTGTGTCTCTTATCGATGATGGCGTTGACATTGGTGACGATGAAGACGATGTTGGGGATAAGAACGATTATGATATGATGACTGGTTCGTCCTGATGATAACGATAACATTAAATGATGATGATTGATGTTTCATTGCATTGGACGGCTAACTAAATATATCGATAACTTTACGTATGTAACAGAATGGCTATTTTAATTTATTTTAATTTTAATATTTTAATTAATCTTAATTAGTCAATTAATCTAATTATTTTTATTTATTTATTTCATCTATCCATTGATATATTTTCGAATGTTGACAATATGATATTGCAAATTTGTTTAAAATACAAAAACGATGATGAATTAATTTCTAGTCTCATAACTTTAATTTTATTATTTTCTTGATCAATTAAAATTAATTATTAATAGGTTAATTAATAATTAATTATAAAGCCGTTTTTCAAAATTATGTATTATGATTTTATGTATAAAAATATTGTTCGATATTAATGAGTTATAAAAGAAATTGTGTCGTTTAAATTAAGCAAAGGCATTATAGATTATTTATTTATTGTGTTTATCAATTAATTAGTTAACTAATTAGTTAATCGATCAATCGATTAGTTAATTTAATCAGTTGATGTCACCTTATTATCATTTTTATCGGTTGACGCGTCATGTTAAAGACATATGCGTACATTCTGTTGCGGTATAGTTTGTTATTATTAATATTATTTTACTTGGCTGAATTTATTGAGTAATTTTTTATTTTGATAATTATTAATATTAAATAAAATAAACATTGTTTGGATAACTATTTTTTCATTTTCATCATTACGTGTAGTTTTTTTACGTTAATTTATTACTTTATATTATTTATGTGTTTTGTTTCATATTATTTTATGCATAGAATTATGAAATGAAATGAACTATACACGCGCTCACATCATTAACTTTGTGAAATAAGATATTGATTTATTTTTAATTCACCTAAATTATTTAATATGAGTTGTAATCTTTCACTCTTTATATGAGAATTTTTCCGAACGATATATTTGGCAATCAGTGTTTTACAATGAAAAATTCATTTTAAAATGTATTGTTTTTTAAATTATTTTTCTGATTTGTTATATCGTCCCATTTAAATATTTCAAACTGGAGAAGTCAATGAAAAAATTTTTAACAACAGAATAGTAAGAAATTTGTATTTCTGGAGAACTTTGTAGGTGTTATAACAAATAAGAAATACACGATTGTTACGAAATGAAGATACTACTATTTCAAAATCAGTGACGTGTCCATCTAGTTGAAAGCGTAAGATCATATAATTGAAAAATTAAATTTATTGAGAGAAACACATGAAATTAACAAAACAAAAAATAATTGAGTAATAAAATCTTGAGAAACATAAATTAAAATCTTTTATGTATAAAAAATTAATTCTGCCTGCTCTTCCTACTTCATTGGTCCACGTTGCCTTGCTTAAACTTAAGTTTACTTTTTGAAAAATTAAACTATTTTAAAAGTAAACTTAGTCTGCAATGCTCGCTTGATTGCGATAAAAATATGATTTGAATGATACAAAATCAAAATTTAGTAAATGTTTTAAATCTTTTTTATTTTAAAATAAAAATAAACGTCGTAAAGATATGCTGGGATTTAGTTATATAAATTTTGGCGTATTGTTGATGAACATTTTGTTGTCAGCTGTTGGTTACTGGCTGACCTGCAAACTGATTTCCTTATGTGGAGAGATGTTCGTGAGGGCCAACCTTTTTGGGGTCGACCTCTGCAAGGGCACAGGCGTTAAAATGTTCTTCACTTTTTTTTAATTCACTATTTTACTTGATTTTTTTACTACTAAAGTTAAGAATGTTTTTGATGTTTGTGGTGGGTTGTTGAATTCTCTAAAGCTGAACTTTAACCTTTTTTAACCATTAACTTTAAGAAGTTTCATCATTTTAGTCATTTATGACCATGTAGTGTACATATTTCTGATGCAACTTTCTATTCTGGCTCTATTATGTCAACAGTTTTATACCTTAAAATTAAAAAGAATCTTACTCTCACTCAACAATATTTTTATAATTTATTTAGTTATAATTAAAAAAATTGTTTGAAATGAAATAATTTGAATTAATTTGTTTAGCTTTAATTTAGAAAAGCATGTCCTGAATTATATATTATAAAATACATTTGTCCCATCTTCATGTTGATGTTCCACATGCAACATGCAAACATGCTACTTACATATTACATGGTGGCATTGAAGAGATTTTTAAAGGACTAAATTAGTTATTAATTTTCAGACCAGAATCCCAAGGAGTGTTGTGTGGAGTCGTTTTCCTGGTCATCATGTTCCTCTTCATCCCTATCCCGTTCATTGAATATTTCACAAATAGAGGAACATTCACATTCCCATTCCATGTTGTTAGTATTCCGTGTTGTTAGTTTTCCACGTCGATGTTGATGTATTTTTTATTGAATTTTATCAAAAAATTCTTCCTTAAAACCTAAATTTGTTTTTTCATATTTTGTTAAAATAGTTTTTTTTAAGTTGAAATGTTGTTCAAATTATGTCAGCTTGTACTAAACTCATGCAAGCTTAAGAGGTAATAATGATATTTCCCATTTATTCACAATTTATTTTTTAAGTAATATAATATTAAAAAATAATTTTATTTTTATATATTATTTTTTTAATTATATTTTTAATGACTAAATATTTTACCCATGGAAAACATCAGTATGTAGAATTCCTCGCTGCCTTACTATCGATATGCTGCATGGTGTTTCTTGGATTTGCGGACGACGTGTTTGACTTGAAATGGCGCCACAAACTTTTACTGCCCACCATAGCCTCGCTGCCCCTTCTCATGGTCTACCTAGTGACCTTTGACCTGACTATCATCATTATACCTGCACCTTTCAGGTCTCTACTGGGGTACAGTATAAATATTGGTTAGTTGGTCCTTTTCCTGAATGTTTTTATTGTTATAGATGATAATTTATTTCTTATTGATCTATTTTTTTTTACAATCCATTGGTCAAAAATAATTGCAAAGTATTTGATTGTTTCATCACCAACCAGATTTTTAATCTTGACCTACACTCACAAGTTAACATGCAAATCCAGTCATCTTCTTTCCCTACATGAACTCACCAGGCTGCCTGTACTACATATACATGGGTATGCTAGCGGTATTTTGTACAAACGCCATCAACATTGTGGCTGGTATCAATGGCATTGAGGTCGGCCAGAGTTTGGTCATATCTGCATCTGTCATCGTTTTCAACTGCATCGAAATGAGTGGTGGGCATGCTACATTCACCCCATTGTTATTAATCTCTGTATGATTAAGTTGTTTGCTAATTGCTTGGATGTGTTTGAGTTAACGAGTTTTTATAACACGTTAATTGAAGTAGTAATGAGTTAGCGATTAATTAGAATTAATTAGATTAACTAATTGGTAATTTTACTATCTAGGTGAATATAGTGAGGCACATTTGTTCTCATTGTACTTTATGCTTCCATTTTTTGCTGTTTCACTTGCACTCTACCAATATAACAAGTAAAGTTTTGTATGTTTCAGTTTTCATGCTTTTGCTTGAATGTTTTCGTTTGCATGTTAGTAGTTTTTTGTTTATTTGTATATGTGTATGTTGCTAATATGCATTTGTTTTTTTTTGGTATCTATGATTTTTTTTGTGTGTGTACATTTTTATAGATGCAAGTATATTTCATGAATTCTAGTTTGTTCCTTCACTAATCAAAATTTTCTTCATTCAAACATTCCTCTAATCATCATTATCAGATATCCGGCCCGAGTTTTCGTTGGGGACACATTTTGTTATTTTTCAGGAATGGCATTTGCAGTGGTGGCCATCTTGGGTCACTTCAGTAAGACCATGCTGCTCTTCTTCATACCTCAAGTCATCAACTTCTTATACTCTGTGCCACAACTCTTTAGATTCGTTCCATGTCCTCGTCATCGACTGCCTAAGTAAGTTATTACTGTTGTGTTTGGAGGGCTTTTTTATTGTGTGTGTGTGTGTGTGTGTGTGTGTGTGTGTGTGTGTGTGTGTGTGTGTGTGTGTGTGTGTGTGTGTGTGTTTATTGCGGTCTGTGAACTATTATTGGCGTAGCGTATCAAAATTTTATTTTCGTCAAATTTAAAATTTAAAAAAAAATTTATTTCTTCATTTCAATTCAGATTCAATCCAAAATTAAACAAATTGGAGTTGAGTTACTCAAGGTTCAAGCCAACTGAACTAACAAAACTAGGTCGAATTATTCTAAAAATAGCCTCAATATTTAAGTTAGTTCACTTCAGAAAGGTCACAGTGAAAGATTGTGAGTATGAAGAGTGCAATAACCTGACAATCATTAACTTTTTCCTGCTCATTTTTGGCCCCACCCACGAGAAGACACTGACCAATCGCATTCTACTCTTTCAGGTCAGATCAAATTCTGATCGGTCGAATTTGGTTGATTGATTGGGGTGATATAGTTGTAAATATATATTAGCTCTGTCCTGGTTATGACATTAAACTGACCCTCACTGCCTTGTGAGTGATGTTGGATCATCAAAGGCTAGGCCCACCGCTTATAACTGTGGTTGCGTAAGGAAGGGCGTCCTGCGTAAAAATTAGCCAAATAAATTACTTGTGATGACAGAAGTGACAATGACCCTCATCGAGGGGTATTTCGGTTTCATCATAGGTAGCCAAACGGCAACCCCCGATTTCGGGGAAAATGTCTAAACGTGTGTTGTTGTTGTTGTTGTTTAATATACAGTATAATGCATGTTAGAAATAATGCCTATTAACGATTTCAATTATGAAATAATAATAATAATAATAATGTTCAACATTTGGTTTTCCATATATAATATAAATTATTTAATTAATTATTAAATTATTAATTTCTCGCGAACATATTCAGATTGTCTGCAGTGTGATAGCCTTGTTCATCAGATATCCTCTAGCCCGCCTGTTTTATGATGTATGACTAAAATAGACCTTACTTATATGTTATTTAACTTGTTAATAATCAATCAATTAATTGATTACTTAATTATTTGATTATTTATTTATTATTTATTTTAGCATTATGATTTTAAAAATCTTTGTTAGCTATAAAATCATTGAAATCATACTTACGGCAATTGTGTTAATAGTTAGATGTATGTTTGTTACCGTGCTATTTACTTATTGGTTCATCTTAATGTTACTCTGGTTACCCACCTGGTAATGTAATTTGCATTGTATTACATTGTAATTAACCACTTCATCGTCGTTGAAGTTATTTAAATTTATTAAATTTAAATAAATATTAAATGTAATTAAGGATGGAGTTTTGTTGGCAACAGCTATAGCCATCTGTAGATAGAAATAAATACTCGCGTTGTTTGTTTAATTTTTTTAATTAAAAATTTAATTATTTGCAGAATGTAAACGGGTAACTGACAATAAAATAAATAGAATTCGTTCAATTCGTTTGTATAAATTAAGTACAAAAATAAATTAAGTAGAAAATTGAATTAAATATATAGGAAAAATATTAACGCAAACAAAAAGTATAAAAGGCATCTGTGTGCAATAATTGACTTGAGAACTCTTCTTTCCCTCTCTCTCTCTCTCTCCTCTCTCTCTCTCTCTATCTACCTCACTCTCTCTATCTCTATCATTTTCATCTACCCTCTCAATCGCATAGTAAATATTAGGCAGCAAAAAAGTTTAATGAAAATAATAAATAGAAACGAGTGAAGGATAAAAACTGAAAATAAGATAAGCTCTGATGAAAATATTTGAGAAAAATGTGTAAGGCGAATATGATAGGACTTCAAGCTGTTCTTATGTTGGTCTGTGGTCTGGTAAGGAAGTAAGCAGCTAGCGAGCGTCTGGCTGGGTGTATGAAAAAGTATAAGAACACACAAATTTAAAATAAAAACATAAAAATCTGTTTGTAAATAAATGCAATGTGCCTTTGAAAATATTTAACAACGAACAATAATTACGACCTTATTGTAGTCTTAATTATTATAATCATCGAATTGAATCTGTAATTATTCTTATAAATGACGTTTGTTATTATATGATAACTTTTTGTGTATAAACCCATAATAAAATGTATTGAATGTCAAGATGTAATTAGCAAAGTTGTCAGAATGATAACAAAAATTTTCTTTCTTATACTTCAGAGCAGATTGCCCAAACAGTTTAAAAGGGGTAGAATTCCAAAGTTTTAAGAATTGTTTTTAGATTTTTCAGTAAAGTAAAACCAACAACAACAGATGGTTTTAGAGTTTAGCTCAATTATTAATTTATACAATATAACAAAATTAAAACATTCTTTTTTCTTTTTTGGTGATATCGTTCATAATTTTCCTGGCATCATCTCTGGGAAGAGAATTCGACTTTGGCGGTTTAGTTGCCGCCATTCTGTCGCCATTGCCGTTGTTGTTATTTTGTTGTTGTTGCGTTGTCAAAAAGCTATGTCTGGTTTGCAATGTTTTGCCTTTTGTTTTGTTGTTGGCGAAGAAATTTATTTTGTTGTTATTATTATCATTGTTGTTGTTGTTGTTTATTTTGTTGTTACAAATAACACTGTTTAAACTGCTGTTACTGATTTTATAGATTTTATTGCTCTCATTTTTAGTTTTGTTGCTATTTTTTATGTAGCGGCTGCTCGGTAATTGCTGAAGCTTCTGAAGCTGCTGCTGTTTTTGTTTGCGCATTTGTTGATGTTGATAATTATGTTGTTGTTGTTGCTGATATAGTTGTTGTTGTTGTTGTTGTTGCGGTGAATTAATGTAATTGACGTCAATCGGCGTTATTAATGTGATGTCGATTGAAGAGGGAGATTTTTTAATCAGGTCTATGACGTCACTGTGACGTAACCATTTGATGTCACGATCGTTTATTGCTACTATAAAGTCACCGACCTTCATGTCTGACAGCTGGGTTGATTCGATTGGTTGTTTGAATTAATAGAAAAAATGATTTTATTGGTTGTTTGTTGAGTGAACGAATGAGTAAATGAATGAATGAATGAATAAAATAATTAGTTGATTAGTTAATTGGTAACCAAATCAATCACATACAATTTAACAAAACAAAAAAAATAATAAACAGCCACATAATGAAAATCAACCATTGAAGATCCACATGCAAATACCGCACACACACACACACACACACACACACACACACACACACACACACACACACACACACACACACACACACAAACATTACACTTACGCTAGAGGGAGTTCCAGACTCCACGACAGCCACCACAGGGGGACATTCACCCCTGAGGCAGAACCCAAACTCCCCGCTACCAGCCCCGTCTTTGAACCTTTTCAGTGTAACCCTTCTGGGCTTCGTCCAATAATGTCGACGAGAGAAAATTGACACACAGCCCTTATTTAAAGAGAAAAATAATTAATATTATATAATAATAATAATAATAATATATA